GGGGCTGCTCCCAAGCACAGGGGTTCTCCTGGGCTCCATGTCAGGGGTGCATGTACATCATGGGGTGCTTCATGACAAGGTGCGGGGGCACAGCCCAGAGACATTGGTGCCTAGGTGCTGGGGTTCGTACATGGGAAAACAGATGAATCCCTTCACCACTCCTGCTGCCTGCCTAAGGCTGACAGATGTCTGTGGCTGATAGATGATGCAGCAGAAGATTTGGGGTGTGAGCATCTGTGCCATGCCCAGCAGCTGATCAGGGGTGGGCCTAGGTGTTTGGCTGTGACTGGCAGTCTTCAGCAGCCCAGGGAACCCATGGGACATACTGAGAGGTGTGCAGGAACACCTCAAACCTGCTGCCCTCAGCCAGTGCAGACAGCCTGTGACTTCTCCCCTTCCCCACCCCCACCAAAGGGCAAATGTGTGTTCTGTTCGCTATTACACCTTGGGCTTTTTTAAGGTCTGTACCAAGTCACAATCAGCCAGATTAGACTCCAGATCAAGTCTAGTTGGTTCATATATTTTCAAAATGTGTAGAATGTCACTTTTTACAGAATCTCTCTTTTGCTTAAAACTGTTCATTCTTCAGAACAAAGTGATGGCAAGTTATGTATAAAAGAAACTAGGGCTTTTCCTCTAGCCTCCTGTCATTGTGTCTTTTAAAAAGAGAAAAGGCAAAATGTCACCCTCAAAACAGTTTTCATGTTATAAATGAACTCTCCTTGCTGTAATGCTTTATTAAATACATAGTAAGGACCTGATGTTGCACTAAAAAATAGTGAATTATTGTGAAGAGCTTTTGTGTGTGTATGAGACATGTAACAAAAAGAAACTTAAGAAAAAAAAACGGTTACAAATGTTTTGTCAGCCATTCAAATAAAAGTCTGAGCATCACATGCTGATCTGTTAAGGACTCAAAAAAGATTTTGCAAAAGAGCAATAGAAACTGGAAAATTTGGAAATTTCAATCTATTTCCCTAGTTACACGAAACCTGACTAGTCTGCTCCTATTTAGTGGCTTAAAACAATCATTCATTTCCCAGCAAAGCTTATTCATTTGCAAGATAAAAGGAAGACGTATCTGCACATGCCCATAATATTCTTCACCACTGGGGGCAGCTTTACATAAGACTGCATTCACTGAAACCAAAGCAACAGTCGGAGGAGCTTTCAGAACGACAGTATGCAGAAGTGAACAGAGCTTGTTCATTGTACAGGGTTATTCTGCCTTCTGTGCTCCAAAGCAGCTTCGTAGCTGGATTGGGTGCTAACTATGAGAACTGCTGTGCTATGGAATACAGATTTGTGAATTCATATAGCTAAAGGTTGCTTGGAGGAATCTATCATGCTTTTCTATAAAGAGAGATTTTAAAAGCCAGGTTTCTAACTGTAAAGATGCAAAAACGTAATATCCATGAAGATCCTATTACCTAGGAAGAATTTGACATTTTCCTGTGAATGCTGTATTGGGATTTATTTATTCTTGGAGTGTTCTGCATGGCTGGCAAAGAATAATGTTCCAAAATCGGTCCATCTCCCAAGGGGTCCAATTTTTCTTCCTGGGTGTCAGCAAGCCCTGACTCACTATAGTGCAGCTGACAGGGGCTGTCATGCTTGTGGCACCCTAACCAAAAACAAAAGACCTAAGGACGACCTTTGAACAACACAAAGAATGGGTATGTTTTTTCATGTTTTTTTTATATACAGTGCATAGTCTCTGCATAGACCCAGCTTCAATTACTCTATAGACCTACCTTGATGTGATGATTTATTATTATAGTTAAATTGTCTAGGGATTACATTTTTAAACTTATTTTACAATATATACAAAGATTTTTTAATTGAGTAAAAAAAAATAACATACAGAGTAGTTGTCGAGCTAGGAATTTTTACGATTATATAAATTAATATTTTAGCATGATTGGGAAAACAGTGACTGATCTTTGGAGGGATAACTTTTCTAAGCTGTTTTTATTTCCAGGTTTCAATGTAATTAGGCTACTGAGCGGATCAGCTGTAGCTCTGGTAATAGCCCCTACTGTATTACTGACAATGCTTTCTTCTGCCGAACGAGGATGCCCTAAGGGCTGTAGGTGTGAAGGCAAAATGGTATATTGTGAATCTCAGAAATTGCAGGAGATTCCCTCGAGTATATCTGCTGGTTGTTTAGGTTTGTCCCTTCGATATAACAGCCTCCAAAAACTAAAATACAATCAATTTAAAGGTCTTAATCAACTCACCTGGCTCTATCTAGACCATAACCACATCAGCAATATTGATGAAAATGCTTTCAATGGAATACGCAGACTAAAAGAGTTGATCTTGAGTTCCAACAGAATCTCCTATTTTCTTAATAATACCTTCAGACCTGTGACAAATCTCCGGAATTTGGATCTGTCATACAACCAGCTGCAGTCTCTGGGTTCTGAACAGTTCAGGGGGTTAAGAAAGCTGCTGAGTTTACACTTGCGATCCAATTCTCTAAGAACCATCCCTGTTCGAATATTTCAAGATTGTAGGAACCTTGAACTGTTGGACCTGGGTTACAATCGGATCCGAAGTTTAGCAAGAAATGTCTTTGCAGGCATGATCAGACTGAAGGAGCTTCACTTGGAGCACAATCAATTTTCTAAGCTCAACCTGGCACTTTTTCCAAGGCTAGTCAGCCTTCAAAACCTTTATTTACAGTGGAATAAAATCAGTGTGATAGGACAAACGATGTCCTGGACCTGGAGCTCATTACAAAGGCTTGATTTATCTGGCAATGAAATAGAAGCTTTCAGTGGACCTAGTGTTTTTCAGTGTGTGCCCAATTTACAGCGCCTCAACCTGGATTCAAACAAGCTCACATTTATTGGTCAAGAAATTTTGGATTCTTGGATATCCCTCAATGACATCAGCCTTGCTGGGAATATATGGGAATGCAGCAGAAACATTTGTTCCCTTGTAAACTGGCTAAAAAGTTTTAAAGGGCTGAGGGAAAATACAATTATCTGTGCCAGCCCCAAAGAGCTGCAAGGGGTGAATGTTATTGATGCAGTGAAAAACTACAGCATCTGTGGAAAAAGTACTACAGAGAGGTTTGAATTAGCAAGAGCTCTCCCAAAGCCAACATATAAACCAAAACTCACCAGGCCTAAACATGAGAGCAAGCCCCCTCTGCCTCCAACTATAGGAGCTACTGAATCCAGCTCAGAACCTGAGCATGACACTGAACACATCTCCTTTCATAAAATCATAGCAGGGAGTGTAGCCCTTTTCTTGTCTGTGCTTGTGATCCTGCTGGTAATCTATGTGTCATGGAAGCGTTACCCAGCCAGTATGAAGCAGCTGCAGCAGCGTTCTCTCATGAGAAGGCACAGGAAAAAGAAAAGACAGTCACTGAAGCAAATGACCCCGAGTACGCAGGAATTTTATGTAGATTACAAACCTACCAACACTGAAACCAGTGAGATGCTGCTGAATGGAACAGGACCCTGCACGTATAACAAATCAGGCTCCAGGGAATGTGAGGTATGAACCATTGTGATAAAAGAGCTTTTAAAAGCTGGGAAATAGTGGTGCTTTATTGAACTCTAGTGACTATAAAGGGAACGTTTTTCTCACTTTTCTGGCACAGCACTTCCATGTCACTTTTTTGTACGTTCATAATACTGGTCATTTTACTCTCATACATAATCAACTAACTGAAATTTAAATACTGCAATCAATGTGAAGCCAGTGCCTAAGCTCTGGTTTAATACAATACCTATTGTACAGACCCTCTATTGATTTCATTAAAGTCTCACTTGTTTTTAAACAGAAAACTTCTTTCATAACTAATCCACTACATCTGTAGTGAGTGTGTTTCTGTTTAGGCAGAAAAATGTCAGCATTGCAAAAGAACCCCAAATCCATCTTCTGAAATTCACTTTCTGAATCAAGGACACATTAAATGGCCCAGGTACTGTAGCTTTATATGAATTCTATGACTTGCTTGAGCTTAGGGATGGTGCAAAAACAACCCTGAAATAATGCTTGATTTTTATTCACTGCAAGACATGATAGAAAGCAAGTAGTAAGTTAAAGCAATGTTTCAGATAAGTGTGTGTTACACAGAAAGCTAAGAGAAGAGAAACCAAGGCTTAATTTTAAAAATAAGAAAGAAAAGGCCCAGAAAAACACAGAATGGGGATTACTATCCTGTTTCTAGAGCTGATAGTGGCTAATTGAAACCTGTTCATGTCTCTTCATATAAAAGGTGCCAGTGTTTATCCCTTCTTACATCCAGTTGCCTTTCAGAAAGTAGTCAAAAGGCATTCATTAAACAAGGAGCAGAAATTCCTTATTGATGCAATTAGAGGAACTCAAATGTGCAGTAGCAAAGGCAAGACCACTTCCTGCACACATTTGAGTGCTCATTAAAAATTCTCTTTTCAAGACTGTCAAAGACATTAATGTAGTTGATGAAACAATTAAATATATTATTTTCTTCTATTTCTTTTTATCTGCTGAGCTGTGCCTGTTAGTATTTCATGATGTGCCTGTTAGTATTCCATGATGTGCTTTGCTTTGCCCATCACCCACCTAGTAACTAAATGAAGCTTCAAATATTTAAAAAGCCAAGCATGGTACATTTTAGAAACACACAACTGGAAAGAGCTTTCAGTAAATACTGGTCATTCTCCATTCTAAATAAGAATGTATCAGAAAGAGCCTAAAATCAGTGACAAATGATTTATTTCTCTTATCATAACCCTGATGATATTACAAGAATTTATAGATATTAATTTTTAATGTAAAGTAATTCATCATTATGTTTCTGGACAAAATCCTGATGAACCTGGACATCAATTGCTTTATCTCCCTCAACATCACTGACAACATTTTATTGATTACTGAACAAAATATGATCTGCTGTGTTTTAAAATTAATTACAGTCCTCACATTTTTATATGGTCTTTTAAGCATCACAGTTATTTTTCATCTGTGGAAAAACACAGTGTAACCTTCTACAGGTTCAGCTGGTCAATAATTTAACTAACTCTGTTTTGTAACTTGATTTCGATTAGCAGACTGCATGTCTTTGACCACCTGGGAGTGAGTGTTTCGACAAAGCAGTTTTACTGCAGTAGATTAGAAAAAGCAAAATCTTCAAGAGGACATTCTGTTGGACCATTTGCTTATTGGGAAAAATAACCAAAGCAAACCACCTTGAACTACACTAGACACAATGAAAATGAGGTCAGAGGGTATTATTTAAGCAACACTCATGCACTTAATCATATTTTTGTAAAATGAAACTGTATTTTCTTTTTGAAGGACTGCAGACAGAAAATAATTGAGATTGGATGGTGCCTAGCATACAAAAACATATAGTACTGGTATTCTAGGTTATGGAGTGCAAACAGTCTTAGATTCCAAGGTTAATAATAATATAAGTGGCTGGTGCACTTTGGATTGCACTAATAAACGTATGAAATCAAGTTGTAGTTTTGAAAGCTATAGAAAAAGAAGCAGTAAAAATGAACTAATCTAAGCTAGGTAATGGACTAACTTTTACCAGTAAATCTTGTTTATATCTATACTGAAGGATTAATTTTTGCCATAAATACAGCATTAGTCATCTTGACTATGCTCTTTGGCTTCTCCAGTACCCGCAGTGGTGACTAACACTACATGCATCCAAACAGAAAAAAAAATTATATTACCAAAAAATAAAAGCATAAAGGTACACATACTGCTCTTCTTGATACTGGGGCAAGGTATATTTAGAATATATATTTCATGTTATTAATTTAGGATTATTTCTATATAAAAATATTCAATCCATGTTCCAAGCAACTTTGTGTCCTTGGTGAAGAATGTTGTCAAATGGGTTATACATATATTTATCTCCATGTTTTTATGTCTTATTCCTACCCCTTTAAAAATGCTAATGATTGCCAACATAGAGGGAAAAACATGTAGCATCAAAAGTTACTTGAGATTAAATTTAGGTTCGTCTATAAAAGAATTTGTAATAGAAACAAAACTGAGGCCAGATACGGAGCCTTTCGAAGCATCAAGCAGTGAAACCATTATCACTAGCTACATCAGCAATGTTTAGGTTAATAATGTTAATTCAACATATTTATATTAAAATACAGACCAGACCATAAGGACAATTAATGCAATTATTATATTAAAGATGCCTAACAGTCTATATATTTACCCATGTTTTCAGTGGCAAATATAAATAAATGAATGTATAATTATCAATCTAATTATCTGATAAAGAATCTGCTAGCCTGCAGAGTATAAATGTCCATTGCCAGTAATACTCCTCTGCACAGCAAAGAGAGCTGAGTTGAATAATGATTATTAAATCCAGGTCTGGTGGCAATGGATTATAAAATGGTTTCATCCAGCCTCAAGCCATGGAGGAGCATGTTAAAAACCCCAAGTTTTAACCTACATAAAGGCCACATAAAGGCCACATAGATTAAGCCAGTTGTAACTCAATTTTACCATAACACACTTGATTGCAAGATTTGCTTTGTGCATGTACACAGTAGTTCAAGAGTAAAAAAATCCAACAATCTTGCAGGAAATTTTCTACCTTTCAGAGTGAATTCCACTGAATAACATTAAGTTCCTGAGGGAGGGGAGATAGAGGCTTTCCTGTTCCTGTTCCTGAAATACATAAATATTAAAGGCTTCAAGATTATGGCCAGAACTGTTCTTTTTTTTTTTCTCAAATTTTTATAGTCCATATTCTGGCCCATATTTTCCTCATTTTATGGGCTCTTAGTGCCACTCTGGAACAAAACTACTTTAAATCCTGCTTCTGAATATTTATATTAAGTAGAGGAAACACCAGGTGAAATGCAACTATAGTGGACTTATAGGAAAAAAATGCAGAACCTACTTTGAAAAAGGGCTATGTGGTCTGGATGGTCTTCATGACCTGGAAAATCCTAGCTGCTCCAATTTTATGTGAGGGACCTAAAGTATCCCAAGACATCTTAGGACTAAGGGAACAGCAGCTTGGTTTCAAACTGTTATTGCCCCCTCACATTTCTTTTCGTCAACTGCATTAATGACTGTATTATCACAACTTGGGACCTTGGATCCATTACTCCAGATAAAATATGATATATCCTGTGCTCATCTTCTGATTTTTGCTTTCCTTGGTGCTTCACTGTGGACATGTCTACACATGCTCCTGACTGTGCAGTTGGTACTGTGCAATCATTTAGTACTTGCTTTAGCAGTTGGTACTGCACAGTCCGAGTAGCGCACAGATCATTTTTGACCCACCAGTTCATTGCGTAGTAGCAGCGGCATAATGGTTAATGCTCACTGACTCCACGTCACCGTAGTGACGAGCTATGGTGACATAGCTGGTTGCTATGGCAACATAGACGTGACCTGGAAATAGCTACAAAGCCAGTGGAATTATTTCTAAAATTATTTCAAAAGCCTTAAATGAGGTCAGGACCTCTTTATTAGACACTGTTAACCACACGGCAAGAGAAATTCCCTGCCTCAGAAAGCTTACAATCTATATAGAGTAGACAGAAGGCAGGTGAGAGGGTAAACAGCAACACAAAGGACAAATTTGCTCAAGATAGTTGAGTTATTAGTTGAGTGATAGATCTCAGGAAAGAAACCATGCCTCCTGACTCCAAAGACATTCCCATAACCACTGGACTACCTTGTCTCTCAATTATGGGATTAATACACCATTCACTAAATCCTAGAACATCCAAATGATCTCTTAGACTAACAAAATAATGACTATTAAGTGTGCATTATCTGTCAAAAATATTCTATATGTCAAGCAAATTGAAGCAAATTAGTGATTCTAATATGTTGTGTTGAGAGATTACATCCTGAAATAGCATAGCAAATAACAATGAGAACCAGTAGCTTGCTACTAGTACTGAATGCAAACTTTTTTATTTTCTGGTATGTTTTCATTACTTGCCATCTGCATGTAGAAGGGTTACACTTTAGGGTTTGGTAACATTTTTTATGGCATGTCCTAGGAAATCCTAGTATACAAATGTAATTTAAAGAGAAATTAATGTATAGCACTCCTGAAAAAGCAATTAGATAGTTTTAAATAGTTCACTGTTTAAATAGTTTCTAACAGTTCTTTGTAAGTCAGCCACCCAACTCTAGATAAATATTCTTTTAGCTGAATTTCTGTGGAACAACAATGACATCCAGTGGCTGGTAGATTAATCACAGTTTTTACTCTTTGTTTCAGTTTACAGTTAGATGCACTTTTACTTAGTTTATCTTTTACTATACAATTTGAGAGTAGCATATACTTTCTATCCATTTGTATAGTCAAATATTTCCTTGAACTATAATTTCATTTCTTTCATATGTTTCTATAAAATCTCAATCTAACTTAATTCATTGAAAGAAGGAACGTAAGAGTATATAACAGCTAGCAAGAAATATGAAAAGGTGTGAGGACTTATTGTTATTACATGCCTAGGACAGTAATGAGTTAGAAAATAAAGACTCATATACTTTAT